TCCTGCCAGACACTAACATTACTGCTGCTGTCTGACCCTTTACCAATTCCGCGGGCAGACTGTCGTTTCAAATCTGAGCTCCTGCATTTTTTCTTCCTCGCAATGGCTTCCTACACATGTGACTTCCTGTTTCTTTTAAAAGGAATTGTTTGGTTTTAAATATATAAATATGTTGCTGGGACATACTTTCGCGATGTACACCCAAGGGAGATTTTAGTAGAGGATACCCGCTGTGCTGGGCTTGGCTTCTTGCTAGTCTTCGCCGTAACAGTGAATATTTCCGTGAAAACTGCTTCCTGCTCGTCAGGTTGGTTGCTGGGGCCAAAGGTCCCGTCCGCATTGAGCTGCAATAGCCCCAACACAATGGTTGTTGTGCAAATGATGGGGTCCAGAGCTCAGTCCGGGAAGAAGGAAGCAGGGAGGTAGATGTTTCTAATGAACTGGATAAAGTCACTGAGGATCTTGATCTTCAGTTCTAACAGTGTAAACTGTTTCTTCACTCACTCGTACCACTTCTCTCCTTTTGTCAATTGAATCACCCCTCACCTTGACTCTGCCTTGCTGCTGACCCATCTGCTGGGAAGACTTGGTGGACCTTTGTTTTTAAAAAAAAAATTTGTCCATTCTGCCCCCCCCCCCCCCCCCCGTACTGTGTTACAGATCATTTGTTTTATTGTCACATGTACCTAGGTACAGTGAAAAGTTTTGTTTGGCATGCAGTACAGGCAGATCATACCATACAAAGTGCATTAGGGTAATAGAACAGAGCAAGGAATGCAAATTTACACAAAATTGCACAAAAAAACAAGACCAACATTAGATTTGAAATTTGAGGTCTATTCAGCAGTCTCATAACAGCAGGGAAGAAGCTGTTCTTGAAGCTTTTGTACCTTCTGCCTGGCAGAAGCAATTATAACTGGGGTGCGAAGGGTCTTTGTTGGCTGCCTTTCTGAGGCAATGAGAAGTGTAGATGAAGTCAATGGATGGAAGGTTGGTTTGCGTGATGGATTGCACTGTGTTCACAACTCTCTGCAGTTTCCTACAGTCCTGGGCACAGCAGTTGCTGTACCAAGCCATGATGCATCCAGATAGAATGTTTTCTGTGGCACATCTGTAAAAGTCGGTGAGGCCTTAGGGATCTGCCAAACTTCCTTCACCTCCTGAGGAAGAGGTGTTGCTGTGCCTTATTGACCGTCGCATCAATGTGGGTGATCCAAGACAAATTATTGATGATTATCACTCCTTGGAACTAATGACCAGCTGCACCTCAGCTCCATTGAAGTAGACAGGACCGTGTCCTCCTCACTTCCTGATGTCGTTGCTGTGGTAACATGAACTTGAAAACATGTCTGTTGTCCTGTGCATAGTGATGGCGAAGGCTCAATTTTCTCTCGGTCACATGGCTGATTAGAAATCTCTCTAACTTTGCCTTTCTGCCATTGGCATGCAATGAAAGGATTTGCATGTCGATACTCAAACTGTTTTGGCTACATTTTGAATGCACCTTCTGGCCTTCAATTGCTAGGAGAGTATTTACCCTCTGAGCTGGAAGTTCAGAGGTGGGGACACTACCCATTGCACAAGACCCTTCAGATTTGTGGTTAAAGGTGCTCTAGTTACTGTTACTAATCATGGAATGGCTTGGCACCCCACAGTGGGTCAGAGAACCAGATTAATGGAATTCAGCATTGGGGTGTTGTGCGACCAATGGTCAGTGAATTGGGAGTGGAGAGATTCAAGTTACTGACTTGAATCAAAGTTGAACAAAAGCTCCTTTTCTGATGAAGGGGTCTAGGCCCGAAACGTCAGCCTCTCTGCTCCTATGATGCTGCTTGGCCTGCTGTGTTCATCCAGCCCTGCACCTTGTTGTCTCGGATTCTCCAGCATCTGCAGTTCCTACTATCTCCAGAGATGAACAGCTAGTTTACCTATGGCAACATGTATGTTTATATAGCACCTAGAAGGCAAGCCCAGGTGTTTCATGGATGAAATGAATGAACACCCAACACAAAGTGGGAGCGTTAGGTATCTAAGGAAATAATTGAATGGATGGGTTTTGTGAAGAGTCTTTTTTTAAAGAAAGATGAGAAAGCAAGGCAAAGTGGTTCAAGGAGGAAGTTTCAGGGAACGGGGCTGCCACACCTCCTGTATTAAAAATAACCTAGCCTGGCCCTTGCCACAGCTGCTGGTAGGGATAACAGCAAAGTGGTTGGCAAGGAGCCAACAAGGGACTTTTTAAATAAGAAAAACAACTGAGCTTACTGGAAGGCTGTACATAACTTCCTCATTCCTTACTGCAGGAGTAGACTTAAGTGATGATGGGAAAAGAAGCCTGACGTGCAGCATTACAGGGAATCAGTGTTGAAAATATTTGATTACGATATCCTTAGAAAATTTTGATCAGGGTGTAGGTAGCACATTGTTAGAACTTAATGAAGATATCTCCCTCTTTGAGTAACCTTATAGCAAGTCTTTTTTTCCTGATTGTTTTCCTGTACTGTACATCATTATATGTTAAAGACCTAGCACAAATGCAAGTTGTTGCTACAGGAGTATGGGCAAACAAGTGTCCAATACAACTTAATGTGACAAAAAACCAAGTCATATGATCATAAAAATACACCAGGATTGTGAATGTAAACTCCAGTGAGATGAACCTTAATATGAACACGAACCTGGTGATTCAAGGACAGTTTATACAAATAAAGCCATACATAAACTATGAATAGGGAGACAGGTAATGAGAGTTAGAGCACTTTTAATTTTTTTTGGGAACAGGCAGCCACAAACTTTGTTTCTTGCGTTAGACATTGTCTCAACTGGAGACAAACTGTTTGCATCTTATTTGATCCAAACTTGGCTTCAGCCCCTCATTCCTCCTCACCATAAGGACTGCAAATCTCAACACATCTGCTTCTGAAATCCCCACTTATGTCTTTACACAGCCAATCTCCATGTTTACAGAGATCTCCTAGCCAGACTCCCACATGAGAACACAAAATGGGAGCAGGAGGCCATTCATCCCCTCTAGCCTGCCTTACCATTTACATAAGATTATGGTTGATCTGATTGTGTAGCTTTAACGCCACATTCCTGCCTACCCCTAACAACCATTTACTCCCTCTGATAGTCAAGAATCTATCTAGCTCTGACAAGAACTAAGTCATTCTGATCCTGCCATAATTCTTTGACACTCAAGATATTCTACATGCTTCCTGCTGAGTTGAAAGTGCCCAACTCACTGCCCTGGTCAACTGAAAAACCAGAGACAACCTGCTGAAATTCAAACCTAACACAGGATCTCACGTTTACATGATGGGCTGTTTAACCTATTAACCCACAGCAATAAGATATCACGTGACTCTCTCTCTCCCTCCCTCCAGTTGAGCATCGAGGTTTGCTATCTGTATCCAACTTATTTATCAGCCCTGTAGCTGCTGTTCTACATTAGTTCCCAATCTCACAAAGCAGCAAGTTTAAAATTCTGATTTTTGTATTTACAGTACTTTGTTGCTCCATCCTCCCACCCCCTCCCCATTATCCTTGCAACTTCCTTCAGCCCTGCAAACAACCCTGTTTCTGTTCCTCAATTCTAGCTTCTTGTGATTTCCCTCTCTTCTCACTACAACATTGCTAGCTATACTGTCAGCCATTTCAGCCTCACACCCTGAAAATCCTTCCCTTCAAATCCTGTGTTTCTCCACATTTTATCTTCCGTTGAGACTTTAGTCAAAACACAACTCTTTGACCAAGCTTTTATTTAACCCTAACTCTTCCTTTCTTGTATATATTAAAATATCCTAAATCATTTCTCAACTGGGGAAACTAGATGACAATACAGTAGTAATTATACTACTTCCATTAGTATCTGAAATTGAGCCAAAAATCTTCCATCGTCTAATAACAAAGAATGGTCAATCAGGGAAGGGAAATGTCCAAGGAAGAGGAAAGAAAGAGCTTGCATTTAAATGGTGATAGGACATCCCAAATCACTTTATAGCCAATGGAGTCCCTTTTCAAAACCAGTCATTGTCTGAGGAAACATGGTAACCAAATCTGTGCACAGCAAGATCCCATACAAAAAAAAAAATTCAGATGACTTGTATCCCGTTTTGAGAAGATTGTTTGACTTGGACATAATCTCCATTTAAAATCTTATCTGAAAGACCACTTCAAATAATTGAGGACCACACTGCAGTGTCAGCGAAAATGAGTCCAGGGTTACCCATTCAGCCATCGTTGACATTTACACAGCCTGAAAACTGAAGTTAGTGTATGATTACTATGGTATATAGAAATGGTTACTTCTATTTATACATAGAATCCCTACCACGTGGAAACAGGCCCTTCGGCCCAACAAGTCCACAGCGACCCTTGGAGCATCCCGCCCAGACCCATCCCCTTATAACCCGCCTAAGCTATGCATCCCTGAACACTACAGGCAATTCAGTATGGCCAATCCGCCTAACCTGCACATCTTTGGACTGTGGGAGGAAACCGGAGTACCTGGAGGAAACCCACGCAAACAGCCGCCCAAGGGTGGAACTGAACCCGGGTCCCTGGCACTGAGGCAGCAGTGCTAACCACTGAGCCACCGTGCTGCCAATACAGGACATTACAGCATTTACAGAAAAAGGCCATTTGGCCCAAGTGATCTAAGCTGCTATTTATTCTCCCACACTCTTTCATCTCAGTCCATCATACTCCCTGTTCCCTTCTCCAAGCTTCATCTTGAATCCAGTGATGTTAACAGTCCGTATGGCAGTAAGTTCCACATTCCATCCATTCTCTTGTTAAGAGGTTTCTTCAGAATTCCTTATTTATTCATGATTACTTTATATTTATGGCCCAGTTTTGGTTCCAACTTTTTTCTGTCTTTATCCAATCAGGTTCCAGGACTTACTGCATTAATAGAATCAAATTTCTATAAAAAGACATCAACAGGAAGTTCTGGACAAGATTTAAATAGCGACCTATCAGCAAGTCAAGAGCAGCATTTGTGAAGTGCTAACAGACTTTGTAATATCATTTATTACACAGGAAGTCTCGTTAGATTTGAGAACATGCTAAAGTTAACACCCAGCTTAGAAAATGGAGGCAGGCCTCATCCAGGCAACCACAGCTCATTTAATTGTCCATCAATAACTGATAAAATCATGACGTAGAGATGCCAGTGTTGGACTCGGGTGGACAAAGTCGGAAGTTACGTGAAACCAGGTTACAGTCCAACAGGTTTATATAAAATCACAAGCTTTTGGAGTGCTGCTCCTTCATCAGGTCAAGTCCCTCATCTGATCAAGGAGCAGCACTGTGAAAGCTTGTGATTTTTAAATAAACCTGTTAGTTTATAACCTAGTGTCACATGACTTCCAATTTGATAAAATCATGGAATAAAATATCAGGAGCAAAATAAAGGACATTCTGTATTCTATATAATTAAGCCAATGCTGTTTGGGAAAGGGGTGATCCAGTTTGTTCAAGCTGTACAATATATTGAGGATGTAACATTCTGAGGTTAAATTGACAGTGTTTCATGTTTCACAATCATCCTGTTAAACTTGAAGACAGAACAGATACAGAGCAAAACTGTTGTGGTAAGTAATTATGACTGGATTGGTAATTCCTAATTAATAGTCCAGTGAATAAGAGTCCATATCCCAGAGTGAAGAATTTGAATCTAGTCTTTCAAGAAAACAATATAGAAACAAAATCCATATTATTAATCACAAAGCTTTTGGCCTATTGTGAAAAACTCATTGATCACAAACATTGTCAGGAACAAAACCTGTTGTCTTTATCCAGTCTGGTCTCTATACTGGCATCGGAAAACATCAAACTGCTTCAAAGAAATTTCACACCATAATCATGTTGAAGGAACCTGACATTTTGCTCCATTTCGGTTGCTAAAATGCATGTGAGACACAAAGCCCTGTTCAGAATGCAGAGAACAGCCACGAATCATCAAAGGATTGTGTTCAATGACTAAGGCCTGGAAAAATACATGCAATTGCACCTTGAATGAGATGACAGAGAAGAGGTATATTAGATACATTGTATCTGCTGTATGTCATGTTGTTAAACATTCAGTTACTTCACAAATTTTCCTTTATGTAAGGAAACTTGTCTCTCCCAAAGAGAATGTGACTCCTGTCTCTCACTCAGTGGTTGGTTTATAATGATGGGAAGCTGTCAAATCCACCCCTGTCCTTACACCATAGGCTGTGTAAGCAGCTACCAGCAGGGATCACAGGAAGAATGGGTGTTTTGGCTGATTATCATTGTATTAGAACTGTCCAGGACCATTATCCATGCAAATTAGACTGTGGTATGAATGTCAATACAACAGCAGATGATGCTCATTGAGTCTTTGGAGAATCTTAACCATGTGAAAGTGTGGGAAATCGAACTGTTGGCTTGATAATGTTAATTTTTGTCTAGATTCTGCTGTCTGATTCCAAATGTCATTTTCAAAGGAAGTGTAAGTAATGTGTTTTATCTCAACACTTGAACACTGGTCACGATGGAGCTATAAGTCTCGCAAAAAGACCTTCATCTATTACTGTGCATTTTCTAGTTTAATATTGCAGATAAAGTCAAACTCACTTCTGGAAATCCTGTTGCTTCACTTATACTTTTCTCTAGGTCTTACCCTCGGCCCCACGAATACCTTCCCATTGCTGATTTGCCAAAAGTATGGGATTGGCGCAATGTGAATGGCACTAACTTTGCGAGCACCACCAGGAACCAGCACATCCCCCAGTACTGTGGATCATGCTGGGCCCACGGGAGCACCAGTGCACTGGCAGGTACGTCCTACAGGTAGATTATGTGGCTCTTGTAGGACTGTAACCCAGAAAGAATTAGTGCTACTACGGTAAAAGTGGAAACAGACTTCAGTTTTTGAAGGTATACTGCAGGAAAGTTGTTAGCCCTAGCTTCTTTATAATGAGAGGGAGATAAGGGAACTAACATGGCTACATGCTAACATGCGGTGAGAATTAATAATTATTTTATACTCTTGTTTGTGTCAATCCATAGTAACAAGTTGCAACTATTATACACAAAGGCTGGACGTTGGCAGTGTTATAATTCCAATAGGTCATACTGGTCAAGTCAGATTCCAGAACAAAATCTGGCTTGATAGATAATATTTTTGCTTTGTTTTTTTATGGGGCTGTCTTTCACTGAAACTTAAGCACACAAAGCTGCAAACTTGGTCTTAACACTATAACAAAAGTTTATTACACCAAAGAAATAAAGCAAACTAAGTTATCTACAATGTGAAAGATTTAAAAACACATGGCAAAGCAAAGTATATTTACTTCTCAACATTATTTTACAAAAGCAGGGAAATTTCCCATCCTATCAAATCTTTAGGTTGGAATTGGCTGCTTCGATGCAGTCTCTATCCTGTGAAGTTTGACACTTTTTCCTTGAATATTCACATAACTGAGCTTAATTTTTTTTTCTGTTTAAGAAACTGTAGTGCTCTGACCAAACACTCCTCATCTGCAAGTTTCATAAACGATAACCCTTCCACTGAAATAACATATTCCCTCACTACTCCAAACAATCTCTTTTTCTATACCATACACCACTAGTTTAAAATCCAAATTCTAAAAATTATATCAATGTATATAAATCACACACCTTTTCATCACAGCAAGAAAAGCTGATTATTAGAGCTGGGCCATTTAGGAGAGAAGTCAGCAAATATTTCATATAAAGGGCAGTAGAAACCTGGAACACTGTCCCAAAAACATCATACATGCTGGTGGTCAATTGGAGATTTTGTGACAGATACTGTAGTTAGGTTTTTTCATGTAAAATAACATTGAAGGTCACCGATCAAAGTTAAATGGTGTTGATGTATGGATCAGCTGTGATCGAACAATGAAATAAGCTCAAAGAGCTGAGTGGCCTTCTCCTGATCTTAAGTCCCTGTAAACTGCTGGAATTAGTCCAGTTCTAGAAAACTAAAACTTTGCAACTTCAATCTATTGTTAAATTGAATTGCAGCAATGAAAATGATACTAAGAATATCCATAGCTAGCAGGCCCAATGGATCGACTGAAGACCCTTTTACCATAATGAGCACATTATTAGTTCCCTTGTCAATGGTCACAATCTTAGTTTTGCTATTGGGATCAAAACCAGCTGCCTTTCACTTCATTCATCTGGGATACAAGCATCTAAACGTTTAAAGGCTTTTTGACCAATGAAGTTTACTCTTGGTAGACCCTGAGCTACTGGTCAGTACTGCTTAACACTGACCAATCAACTTCACCCAGAGGTTAAGGCAGTTCTTTGAGTGAGATTGTCAATTTTGGCAACTTCAACCATGACACTGCCACGTCTTTCACACATCTCCCTTCATAGTCAGTATGTAGTTGATACTTTGATCCTACCAGCCTGTTAGATTAGAACATAGGACTCGAAGTGCAGGTGCAGTAAGATGACCTAAAGCAAACGCCAGTCCCCATGATGGCATTGTGTGCTGTTGTGCTCTTTATTAATATTTCTTTCACTAAGTGAAATGGCAGCAATCCAATGAATACTCAGGCAATATTAGTTATGACTCTATCTATTAGAATCACCAAGGTATAAGCTATACTTCTGGCTCAAATGTGACCAGTAAGGCAAGAGGTTGTCAGGATCTGGTCTGGAGAATACTCCTGTTCTCTGGGTCCCTGACTTTCAGTTGTGCTATGATTCTTACTGTCTGCTCTCAATTCCTCACTCAGGGTCATCCTCCTTAGGAGTGTTGTTCCTAGGATCTTGCTATGACTATGCTAGTTTCTTCCTCTTGTATATCATCAGACTCTTCTTTTGTACTCCTGTATATCGCTGGTCATGTGCTTTTTACTAATCAACTCTGGATAATTTGGTAAAGCTATTTCTTACTCCAGTCACCCACCTGTCTGGAGTAGTGTTATCTTGTGTGATTGTATCTGTAATCTTGTTTCGTAGTTCCTTGTGCTAATGTTACCTTTAAACTCTTGATATTACTATTGCACACTGGTTAATTTGTTCAAGCTAGAACCATATTTTTGTTTTAGTGCCCCACAGTGGCCACTTGCATTTTCCACCAGATTGTGGATGTACAAATTCTTGGAGGGTCTTGTGCCACATTGTCAATGTCCTCCCCTAGGCCAGGAGTTCTGGGTTCAAGTCCCACCTGCCCTGGTCACAAGTCCTAAAATGTCTGAATAGGTGATTTAATTATAAATTAACTGCAAATGCTTGTCTTTTCCAGATCGGATCAACATTAAACGCAAAGGTGCTTGGCCATCTGCTTACCTGTCTGTGCAGCAAGTCATTGACTATGCCAATTCAGGCTCCTGCGAAGGGGGGGATCACATGGGAGTCTGGGAATATGCACATACACACGGCATTCCAGATGAGACCTGCAATAACTACCAGGCCAAGGACCAAGGTAAAGGCTGCTCTGTGCTACATCCACAGAGTCAGATACAGTGCTATTTCTACTCTAAGCATGTACAGGGTTACAAAATTTACAGCAGAGAAATGGAGGGGTGATAGAACACTAACCTTACAAAATGGCTTAATAGGGTAAATTCAATAAGAAAGTCAGGGGGAGAAAAGATTTCTTCAAACAGAAACCAGGCTTTCGGAACAACTAGCATGTGCTGGTGTTTATGTGCCTCAAACTACTTTATCTAGCCGTATTAGTATCTTTCTTTCCCCCTCATTTATCTATTTTCCCTTCAAATGCATCTATACTCCTTGCCTTAAGTACTCCCTGTGATAGTGAGTATTATGCTTAGGCTATTATCTGTATGAAGGTTTTCTTGAATTCTGGACTGAATTTAACCAGGCTGCGAGAGGTTAACCCAGATTGTTTAAATCTGCATAGAGATACTTCATTGTTGTTGAGTGGCCATTTCTAAGACTGAAGACAAATACTGTAAATGTAACATCAAAGAAGCCCACTTTGCAAAACAGCAGCAATGGGAAGCATCTAAACATTCAATCCCAGCTTGGTTCTCGCCCTATCTTTAGATTGTATGCCTTTTAACCAATGCGGCACCTGCACAACCTTTAACGTCTGCCACATGGTCAAGAATTACACACTCTGGAAGGTTGGTGACTTTGGCAGAGTCAAGGGCGAGAGAATATGATGGCAGAGATTTATGCCAACGGTCCAATCAGGTACAGTGTTCTATCAGGTTCATCACTTTGTCTAATGTTGTTCCTGTTTCAGCAGAAATGTAGGAACGCAACAATAAATGGTCTATTTGTGGGGCTCCAAGCAAGGAGATTTCAGCCAAGTGCGTATGCCCATTAAGGGTGGTAACTGAGTGGTATAACTCCAGAAAATTTAGGGTCGGCAAGTTGTTCAATCAAACCAGACTGAGCCAGAGCCTCATTGTGTCCTTGGTCAGTTTCCACCCAAGTGCAGTTTTTAACCAATCAAGAGATAGAAAGCAGCTTTGGTCTCCGTGTTCTTAACTCAGAGACACAGTCAAAAATAAATCAATGAGAATGCTATTCCATTATTCTGAGATCATCTCCTGTTCTAAATCTATGTTTGTAACTTAACGCAGCACCAGCAACAGATCCTGCTTCACCTGACCATCTACCCTTCCATCCATCCAACCAAGATTTCTTTTAATATTTTTACTTCATACTTATCTTTTAAACTTACTACACTTTTAAAATAGCTGTTTGTGCATCCTCATGATGTTTTGAGCTTGTGGTTACAGGCTGCCTGGCAGTAGACACTTTGTCCAGAATTTCCTTGTGATTTCTTTAAATTGGTTTATAGGATGTAAGTATTCCTGCCAAGGTGACCACTTGTTGAGTTGAATTGAATTAGGTTTAATGTCACGTGTGCTCAGAGTACAGTGAAAAGTTTACAAGTTGCCACTTATGGTGCCATCTTAGTTACAAAGTAGAAAAATAAGGAAAACCAAATTTAAGAAGTTTAAACATTTCAGTCCTTCTCACTGAAAAGTAGAAAAAAAACAAAAAATACAGCTAACAGGTCAACACAACAGTCTGTAAGCACCTCACCACACTGGGCTCACAGGGCTCCCCAGCTCCTGTCGCCTTGCAACTTGTCCCTGCTATTACCCTGGGCTGCCTGATCCCACTGATGTCACCTTCTTTCATAGTCTTCACCAAAAAGAAGGAAAAAGATGAAGCTGAAAGAGGATGTGGCCAGCCTGGTGCTGGAGAGCTGACCAGCTCACAGCATTACCTACCCTGCTGCTGCCACCACCAATCCCAAGTTCCTGTGGGTCTGGAGTCTCCCGACCAGACCCAAAAGGAGGGAATATTTATTTCTCTAAAGTTTACTAATGAACTAGACGGTTTTTCATTCTTCCCTTATATCTAGAATTGCTCTTTTAGACAACTGAATGGCTGTTCCCACCAACCAGTCACCCGTGGCAACCTATTAACCACCACCTATTGATCATTGGGAATTATTGACAGTGGCTTTTAGTTCTAGGTTTACTCAATACTTTAATTTATTGAGCAAATTTAAATTTCCTCCAGCTGTCATGGTGGCATTTAAAACCTTATCCCCAACAGCCAGAGCCAATGGATTATTGGGTCAGTGACACTATCATTAAGTCAGCCCCTCCCCAGTTACAAATGGGAAGTTATGCACGAGGGGAGCTGATGGCCTAGTGGTATTATCGTTAGATTGTTAATCCAGAAACCCTGCATGTTCTGGGGACCCAGTTTCAAATTCTGTGATGGCAGATTCAATTTAAAGAAAAACAACTATACTGATGACCATGAAACCCATCTGGTTCACTAATGTCCTTCAGGAAAAGAAACGCGCCATCCTCACCTGGTATGGCTGACAGATGACTCCAGACACACTGGAATATGGCTGACTCTCAACTGCCCTCTGAAATTGCCTAACAAGCCACTTTGTTGTATCAATCACTACAAAGTCTCCACAAAGAAATGAAGCCAAATGGAAAAGACAAGGGCAGAAACAGCCCTGTCAACCCTGCAAAGTCCTCCTTACTAACATCTGGGGCTAGTGCCAAAACTGGGAAAGCTGTCTCTCAGACCGGTCAAGCAAGTCATACTCACTGCATCATACCATACAATGTCCCAGACACTACCAACCCCATCTTTGGATATGCAGACAGACCCAGCAGAGGTGAGGGCAGAGTGGTATACAGTGGGGGACAGCTGCCCTAAGAGTCTTCAACATTGACTCTGGACCCCATGAAGTCTCCTGGCTTCGGGTTAAACATGGGCAAGGAACTTTCCTGCTTATTTACCAAATACTGTGTTACCTTAGCTGATGAATCAGTACCCCTCCACGTTGAACAATACTTGGAGGAAATACCGAAGGTGGCAAGGGCACAAAATGTACTCTGGGTGGGGGATTTCAGTGCCCAGCACTACTGATCGAGGCTGGTGGCATCCTAAAAGACGTAGCTGCTAAACTGGGTCTGCAGCAGATGGTGAGGGAACCAACAAGAGGGAAAAATATACTTTATCTTGCCCTTAACAAGCTGCTAACTGTAGATGCATCTATCCATGACAATATCAGAAAGTGACCACTGCACAAGTCCTTGTGGAGACAAAGTCCCACATTGAGAACAACCATCATGTTGTGTAGCACTATCACCATGCTAAATGGGACAGACTTCGAACAGATCTAGTAGCTCACGACTGGGCATCTGAGGCGCCGTGGGCCATCAATAGCAGCAGAATTGTACTCCAGCACAATCTGCAACATCATGGCCCAACATATCCCTACTCAACCATTACCATCAAGTTAGGGGATCAACCCTGGTTCAATAGAGTGCAGGAGGGCGTATCAGGCATACCTAAAAATGAAGCTACCAAACAGGACTACTCATAGGCCAAGCAGCAAGTGAAAGACAGAACTAAGCGATCCCACAACCAAAGGATCAGATCTAAGCTCTGCAGTCCTGCCACATGCAGTTGTGAATGGTAGTGCCCAATTAAACAATTCACTAAGAGGAGGATCCACAAATACTCCCATCCTCAATGATGTAAGATCCCAACACATTAGTGCAAAAAAGGCTGAACCATTCGCAGCAATCATCAGCCAGAAGTGCCGAGTGGATGATCCCTCTTGGCTTCCTCCAGTGGTCCCCAGCATCATAGACACCAGTTGTCAGCTAATTCAGTTCACTCCATGTGATATCAAGAAACTATTGGAGGCACAGGATACTGCAAATGCTATGGGCTGTGACAATATTCCGGCAATAGTACAGAAGAATTGTCCTCTAGATCTTGCCGCTCCCCTAGCCAAGCTCTTCCAGCACAGTTACAACACTGGTATCTACCCAAAAATGTCCAGTGACCCTTCTTCAGACTGCTTCCTGCATGGAGGTTGATCATTTTAAGAATGAAGTTGCATACCTTCATTTTAACAGTTACTCTATTTCTAACAGAGGCAGCCAGTCTCCCAATGCACAGAAAACTGGGAAGTTTAAAGGAGGCCACCTGATGTTGCAAATGGCTCTCGGGCAGCAAAGATGGAACATGCATCATTGCTTTGAATGATGCCCAAATCTAGCACCCAAAAAGTAGTGATGAAAGACCACTGCCTGATAAATTTTGGGTTTTTTTTTCCTTCTGCCATGTCCTTTTCAAAGTCAGTGAATGAGCTTGCCAAATGCTGAGCTTGCTTTTCCCAAGTGATGATTAATTTCTTCAACCAGTATAGCATTCAGCAGTGCTATCATGTTATCTAAATAATTTAGGTATCTTCCTTGTCTTCTAATAAAACAATAGAATAATGTCCCTGTGAATTATAACAAAGGGGAAATGTAGCAGTATAGTTGAGGAGAGTAAGGCCCATAAACATTAAGTGAACAGCTCAAATTGTTTTGGAGATTTAATTCAAAGATGCATAATAGGCAGTAACCTGTGGAAAACTCCCTTTCTCTATGAATAGTGCCACAGAACTTTTCAGATTCACCTGAAGGCAGATGGGGTCTTGGTTTAACATCTCATAAAGGCAACATCTCACGAAAGTGTCCACATCAATATATTCAGCAATGTGGCTTGAACCTTCGACTAGTTCACATGGGCTATAGCACAACTCCCGCTCTAAGACTGACACTCAACGAGAGGACCTTGTAACCTGCTGCTTAGAATTTGTTGTACAGTTCTCTAGTTTGTACTCGGTTTGGAGAACTGCTTTGTGCTTAATGAAAATGTTTTTATTTGATCCCTTGTAGTTGTGGCATTATGGCTACAAGAAAACTGGACGCCTACACTGGAGGAGTGTATATGGAGTACCAAGCAGAGCCAGCAATAAACCATATCATGTCAGTGGCAGGCTGGGGTGTAGAGAATGGAATTGAATACTGGATTGTGCGCAACTCTTGGGGCGATCCATGGGTAAGTGATACCCAGATTCTTCATTATGTCAGAGGTGGTGGTGCAGTGGAATATCAGCCCCACTGACAGATGGTGGAAAATTGAATCAATAAAATCTGGTCTAATAGCGATCATGTGATCACTGACAATTGTTGCAAGAACCCATCTGGCTTAGGAATATTCTTGAGTAGGAAATCTGCCAGCATTACTTGGTCTCGCCTACATGTAATTCCAACTCTCAGCTATGTTGTTGACTCGGAATTATCCTCTGGGCAATTAGGGATGGGCAATAAATGCAGGCCTAGCCAGTGATGCCCACATCCTCTAACATTTCTTTCAAAAAAGTGTGCTTCAAACTTTGGTTTAGTCTATCAAGTAAGGCAATAAAGCCACACATTTAACCAACTGACTGTCAATGCAGATCCAGGATGGTTTGTATGCTTGTGTAAAATTTGAGTCTTGATAATCCTATAAAATAAAGAACTGCAGATGCTGGAGATGTGAAATAAAAACAGGAATTGATGGAGAAGCTCAGCAGATTTGATAGCAGCTATGGAGAAAAAGCAAAGTTAACATTTTGAGTCTGGTAGCCCTTAATCAGAACTGATAATCCTATATCTGATCTAAATCTTCAACTGCGCTTGATCACCTTTTTTGTCCATTGTTGGTACCCTCTCAAAAGAAAAATCAACATTGTTGTTGGAAGTTTAACCAGTCCCTCGGCATCAGTAGGCCTTTCAGGGAGTAAGTTCCTGAATTCTACTACCCTCTATTAAGCAAAAGTGCATTCTGACTTACTCCTGACTGCCCTAGCTCTGATTTTTATTAAATTTAAATTCCAGATTCCTACAATAGAAGAAGTAGCTGTTGTATTCCTTGATCATTTCAAACACCTCAAATCAGATTTCCCAAGGCTCTACAAGCCAGGTTTAAGCAATCTTGCACCACCTACCAGTCTAGGCTTCTCAATAGCTTGATGTTAACTGTTGACCAGTGACAGATTTCCAGATGATTCAGCCTACAGCTATCGGAGGAAAAAGCTACCTCAGCAAACTTAGAGTTGGGGGTATCCCAAGTTTTATTGTTTTATTTGATTTGTAAATAATTTTTAATAGATTGATTTCTCCATGTGAGATTATATTAACTGTTATTGTTTCAGGGGGAAAGTGGTTGGCTCCGAATCGTCACCAGTCCCTACATGGGAGGGAAAGGAAACTCCTACAATCTGGCAATCGAACAGAACTGTGCCTATGGGGACCCTATCCTGTAGTAGTGTACAGGTTTTGCCACACACCTACTCTTCATAGGAATGGAACTTTTTTTAAAAATACATTACCACTTTAAGAAGAAATCTAAAATGTAAATCTGAGGTATACAAATTACTTTGCCTCAAGAGGTGACTGAATTGAATGATTTTTATTTTAAAACAAGGATAAAGCTGTATAACAGGAAACAGAAGGGAATAATTTTGGTTCCAAGAGGCTAAAACCACGACATGAATTAAAAAACCTCTTGAGAATCACAGGTTTTTTTTTTTGCACTCATGTCCAGCACACCTGTAAAACAAACACTATTTGCTCACAGGTTCCAATGCAACAGAAATATCGTTTTGAACAATCTCCATGTCACTTTGTAAGTAAAAAGGAAATCAGAACAATATTATCTTTTCCTAAAATATATGAAATAAGACAGTGCTTCAGGATCTATATCTTGTGAATTTATCCATAACCTGGTCGGTTTACTCTACACTATCTGATTATAAGTCATCTTTGTAATGAGACAGCAGCCCTACAGTCCTCAGGGTAAATGGCAACTTTACTAAACTGGACCAAAGATAATGATTGTTGACTCAATCAACAACAGGATCAGACAGCAGTTCAACATTATTATTTACCAGAGGCAGCACTGACAACATCATCTGCAAATATACCTTACTGACACAACCCAGTTATCAACTGGAATTGCAAAGATGCAAATGGTGCTACTAAGCTCAAATGTCACTTACGCAACCATCAACAAAATCTAATTTACTTTTTCATTCATTCACAAGATGAAGGTGTCACTGGTTGGACCAGCATTTATCACCCATTCCTAACTGTGATGTGGGGGTACTGGTGTTGGACTGGGGTGGACAAAGTCAGAAATCACATGACACCAGGTTATAGTCCAACAGGTTTATTTGAAAACACAAGCTTTCAAAACCTGAAAGGCTGAGACTCCGAAAGCTTATGTTTTCAAATAAACCTGTTGGACTATAACCTGGTGTCATGTGATTTCTGACTTTGTCCATTTGTAATTGCACTGAGTAGTTGGTGGTGAGCTGGGTGAGCTGCCTTGAACTGCTGCAGTCCATTTGCTGTATATAGACCCACAATGCCATTGGAGGTGGTGGTCCAGGATTTTAATCCAGTGATACCAAAGGAACTGCGATATTTCCAAATCAGGATGTTGAGTGGCTTGGAGGGGTAACCTTCAGTGGTGGTATTCCCATGTATCTGCTGCCGTTGTTTTTTGAGATGGTAGCGTGTTTGGAAGGTGCTGTCTCAGGAGCCTGAGTGAAGTTATGCAGCGCATCTTGTGGGTAGTACATACTGCTGCTCGAGGGGTATTGTAAAGCTAATGGCTTTGGATTTTCTTTCAAAGTAAACAAAAGCAGCACGAGTGGGTAGAGTTTTTGCTTTCAGTTGTTAAGTTGGTTTTTTTGGAGTTGAAGGGGCTAGATACAGCTCTCTCTCTCTCTGCTACTAGATGCATTCGTTCAGTCTTTCTCCTGAACCAGAGGAGATAGCAAGTGACCAAATCTGTTCTTTTGAATTTGCCTTTGCAGATGCTGCTCTATTGAAACAGTGGATAAGTAATTGTTGAATAATATATTAATGATTTCAATAGAGTTAAAAGATATGCCAGTTGTTTTTATTTGTATTTTAACTGAAGTGTAAGAATAAAGTGTTTTGCTAAAAGCCTAGTAGTTTTACCAATCAAATCACATCTTACACTTGCTTTTAAATAAGATGAAAGTTAGGGTTGAGACTATGTCCTTGATATGTTGAGGGGGTTTGGTCTAGTCTATAACAGGGTTATTTATCTACCCTGAGGAACCAGAGTTCTTGGATACAGTGGTAATGTCCCTACTGCTGGTCTGGAAGGTCAAGGTTCAAGTCAAACCTATCACAGACATGTGTTATACCATATCTGAGTAGGTTGATTACAAAAGTATCTACCTCAAGTAACTCCTGTGAAAATATCCTCGAGCTGACTGACCCCCAACAACCACAAACATCTTCCTATGTGTGAGGTATGACTCCAGACAGTGGAGAGTTTTCCCATTGATTCAAGGGGAGCCTCCATTGATTCCAGGTTTGCTAAGGCTCCTTGATGTCAAGGCAGTCACTTTCACCTCACCTCTAGAATTCAGCTCTTTTGTCCATGTTTGGACCAAGGCAGTAACAAGGTCACGAGCTGAGCGGCCCTGATAGAGCCCAAACTGGGCATCACTGAGCAGGTTATTGGTGAGCAAGTGCTGCTTGATAGCACTGTTGATGACATCTTCCATCACTTTACTGATGGGGCAGTAATTGGCTAGGTGGGATTTGTCCTGCTTTTTGTGTACAGGATGTACTTGGGCAATTTTCCACATTGTCAGGTAAGTACCAGTGTTGGAACTATACTGGAACAGCTTGGGGGAGGCTGGGCAGCATTACACCTGCAGCACAAGTCTTCAGTGCTACAGGTCAGAACATTGTCAAGGCCCATAGACTTGGCTCTATTCAGTGCCTCCAACTGTGTCTTGATTACAACACGGAATGAATCAAATTGGCTGAAAACCAGTAGCCATGAATGTTGGGGGCCGCTGGAGGTTGCGGAGATGGATTGTCCACTTGGTACTGATTGCAAATGCTTCAGCCTGATCTTTTGCATGGATTTGCTAGGCATCTCCCACATTGAGGATGGGAATATTTGTGAAGCCTCCCTCTTCAGTGAGTTGTTTAATTGTCCACCATCATCATGCCTGTGGCAAGACTGATCCATTGGTTGTAGAATCACTTGCTGCCTATGCTGTTTGGCATGCAAATAACACAACCAATTGAGATCTGGAATGCACTTGCAAGAAAACTGGTAAAAACCGATTATAGTAGTTATTTTCAAACAAGATATGGATAAACACAGGGGCTACAGCAAAAGACAGAATTAGTGAAACTACTTGGATAGATGGTACAAAGGGTTAAAATGTCCTGTAGCATGCAATGATTCTGCAATGAATGAATCATTCTGTCAATTGCTGTTAGAAGTGTTTTGCTCACTTAATCTGAGACACAAACACCTCAGTAAAGATGAAAGGTCATCAACCTGAAATTTTAGCTGTTTCTCTCTCTCTCTCTCCACACCTGCTGAATATTTCCAGCATTTTCTGTTTTTACTACTCTGTCATCTGCCTTACTCTGTAGTGGCAGAGGTTTGGCTTACTGCTTTGATGGTGACCAAATTGGACTGACCTTTGTCTATGTAGATGGGCAACAATTCATTCACATTACTTAGCTATCAATACCAAATGCAAATAATTCTCACTGATAGCCTAAGGTCAACAATTAGAGGCCTTCTTGTCGCATAGCGGTAGTGTCTGTACCCCTGGACCAAGAGGCCCAGGTTCAAGTCCCACCTGTTAACAATAATATTAACAACTGCACTGTTTTATTTGCTGGGGTTTTCCAATTGCTTGAAAGCTGGAGATATCTGCATTAAAAAAATGAGTGCAGTCTACCTCAGCTGGAGATATCTGCATTAAAAAAAATCAGTGCACCTACCTCAGCTGAGCCTCACTTTCAGCATAGCTAATTAACTCTCCAATAACCAGAGAAGGCACTAGAAAATAGGACCGGTCCAGGCACAGTGGGCCGAATGACTTCCTTCTGTGCCGTTAAAAATTCTAAGCTTGTGAAGTAACTATATTTTCACTTCTACTGGCTGAACATTTAAAACAACTGGCTGGTTTTTACAATGCCAAATTATAAAACATTTAGGAAATCCAGTTCAGGCATTATTACAAATAAACAGCATACAAAACTGTACTGACAATGTAAACATCATCATTTTAAGGTCATAGCTAGTTAATTCTATTCAAATGAATGAGGGATTTGCACCTTTGACAGTCTGTTTGCTTTTAAAAACATGCTTGGATGGAGCTCACTCTAACTTAAATAAGATAATTAGTGGCAATTTAATTAAAAATGTTTTTAACTTATTTAAGGTGTACACTGGCTACTCAAAGATGTTTTATAAATCCTTTAATTTATAACAAGCAGCTAGGGATTTTCACAAGAACAATTTCCAGCATTCAATTTATATTTAAACAAACCACAACCATTGAAGAAATGATTACCTCAAAAGAGGAATAGAATTTGGCAATCACTGCAAATGGAGAAAAGCAGAAGTTAAACCAATCATGGAAGGTCCAGATCAGACTGCATCACCTGATGATGAAACATACAAGAGATTAGTGGTGTTTCAAGTAGTTGGATTTCCAAACCTCATTACGCTAAGAATCTCCAGAAATTGAAGATTAAAACTCCCAAATGTTACTGTAAACAACAATATTTTTAAAAACAAAGCAGTATGCTTTCATTTTCGTTTCTTTTGTTAATTACTTACCAACAATATTTGAGATGGAGTAAAAGGCTGTGTCATGCAATTGGATAACAAGATTGCTCTATATGGGCTTAGAAAGCATGAACAGACAAATGGATGACAAGGTAGACGGAGAAATGCTCACAGCACCAAAGAAAGAACGAACACTGGATGATCCTTGTTGGCTATTTAAGGCTGACTCATCACTCGAGGAACTGATAATCTGACTTTTTGACTAGATTGAGAACAAAAATTGGTTTGAAAATCTGTACCTGCAACCTACATTTTCCTTCAAAATGTGCTGCTCCTGTGAATAAGTGTGTCCAAAGAGCGCGCACACAGGTTTCTCTCTTTCCTTTTATTGATAAGAAACAATGTTTTAAATCCACTTGTAAGCCAATCAATGGTACTCAGGTGTCATCTGAAATTAAACTATCACTGTGGAGACATCATATGCACAGAGTTCGCTTACATATATATATGTATGAATACTTTAATTGTATTAAAGGAAATCAGAAGTCATATGAACATAGGAACAGCAGAAGACTATTCAGCCCCTCTAGACTGATCTACTTGTGTTTCAAATTCCCATTCACCTCTGATAACCCTTGTTTCTCTTGCTAATAAGAATCAATTCACTTTTGTCTTCAAGTGACCTTACCTGCATCACATTCTCAGGCAGAGTTCCAAAGTTGCACTATCCTGAGAAAAAAAAACTTCTTCCTCTCCTGAAAGGATGACCCAATTGTCAAATAGTGCCCCTGAGTTCTGAACTTGCCCACAGTAGAAAACACCCTTTCCATGTCCGCACTGACAGAACCATTAGGATCTTACCAATCTATCCAAGCTTTTCACATGAGACAACCTGCTCATTCCAGCCATCAATCTAACAAACCTCCTGTGAACTACCTCTAATACATCTTTCAGTGGATGCAGCCACCTTCAATGACAGAAATGTAATCTCTTTACAGCTGAGGTTTTTGATCAGTGTTTGAATGAGTTGTGTGTTCCACAGAGGGAAAACTGCCAGCCTCCCGTCACTGTGAAACAGCTGTTGTACAATCAAAAGGATTGCCGCAGGGAAATCAACATTCTGACCCAGCACTAACTTCTATCCCTGTGATATTCCTACCCTGAGCTCCGGGTTAGGGATCTGTCCCTGTAAGATTCCCACTCCAAGAAATTGTCGCATTGTGTCTCATTTGGGCCACTAATCAATTTAAGTGTATGAAATTTCCAAAGAGCATTTTGTTCAAAAGATCAATTTGGATGAGGTGCCAGACAAGTGCAGATTCCATTCAATTTTGAGATTCCATCACATGCTCTCTGATGCTGTTATGCAGTTTAATAATATGTAATAATTTTATAATAATCATTGAAAATATTAAACACAAATATAAAAATACAAATTATATTTAACTTAGTTACAATGTTTCTTACAGGATACTTACAGCAGCAGTGTCCAAAAAATTAATCTTTAATTCCTGTAAGATCAAGGACAATTGACAAACCTTAGAACAATAATTGATATTTAACAGAAAAGAGTCATACAGCACAGAAACAGGCCCTTCAGTCCAACATGTCTATGCTGACCAACAAACACCAAACTACACTACATCCATTTTCTAGCACTTGATTCATAGCTTACTATATCCTGGCATTTTAGTTCTCATCCAGATGATTCTTACATTGTTCCTTTAAGACAGTAATATGTCCCAAGGCACTTCATAGAACATTCTCAAACAAACTTTGACAGTGAAGGAGGAGATATAAGAGGGTGAGCAAAAACTTGGTGAAAGAGTAGGTTTTAAAGCGCACCTTAAAGGAAGAATGAGATGTAGAGAGGCAGAAAGGTTTAGATATAGAGCTTAACGCCTCATAGCACAGTCACCAATGGGAAGTGAGTAAAATCTTTGAAGTGCCTCTTTAAAAGAACTAGTGAATTAGTCCCCGGTCGTTCCCTCTTCAAGTGTTGATCCAGTTCCATTCTGAAATTTATTACTGGATCAGCTCCCACTCTTTCAAGCTGTGGATTTCAGATCATAACTTGCTGCCTAAAGGAAAACTCAATCCCCTCGATTCTGCTATCAAGTGCAACGATTCATGAAATTAACAAAGGTTGGTATAATAAATGAAATTCAACAGGTCCAGTATAGTTCACCCCTATTTGAACTGAAGTATGGCAACTGAACTTGAAATGGTTGGTACAAGACTGCTGCTTGACACTTCACCAGGAGGAGATGTTATCTAAACTGGTTTCTTTACAATCATGGTATCTTTCATTCAAAACGACTGGACCTACATGAAATAAGTGTCATAACATGGTCAACTATCAGACCTGAGTCCGCAAGAAGTACAGCAGCAAAATGTGACTTCAAAAAGCAGAACATCTGTGAAATGAGAATACAAAAACAACGAAGTCACATGTCTTACCCAGATAAAGTAATGAAAGTCATTTAAAAATACAAAATATATGTCAAGACAAGGGAGACGTTAGCCAAACAAGATGAATAAACAGAAATTTAAATGGAGATGCCAAAGAAAATCTGTACAATGGAGGGATACAGGAAAATGCTAACAGGCTTTCAAAGGGTTTTCTGAATGTAAAAGGAACACCGTGGAGGAAAACAGCAAAAGAATTCTATATTTTTTCCAAGAATGTGGGTATCACTAGCATTTATCACTTATCTCCAGCTGCCCTTGAACTGAGTGGCTTGCTAGACCATCTCAGAGGGCAGGTTAAAGTCAACTTCATTGCTGTAGATCTGGAGTCACATGTAGGCCTGACCAGTTAAGGATAGCGGATTTCCTTCCTCAAAGGACATTAGTGACCCAGATGGACTTTTACAACAACTGATGTTAATTTTGCAGTCCCCATTATTTAGATTCGTTTTCAATTCCAGATTTTATGAAGTGAATTTAAATTCCACCAGCAGTTTTGGGATTTGAACCAATGTCCCCAGAATATCACCTCTGGAAAACACGACACTACCACAATGCCACATCTTCCTTTTAAGTTACATATATTTTACTTAATGTTTTATCCAACAAAATACCAGATATCTAGCAAAAATATTCAAAGAACCTTTAGTTGTGTGTGGGTTCACATCCAGATGCTATGGTACAAGTGACCATAAGAACACAAGGATCAGTGAATAACAGTCATTAGAGGCACCAGACAGATCCTTTCAAAAGTCGATATAGCTACCTTTCCAGAACTTGTACAATCTTATCCTTGTTTTGCTTCTGAGGTACCAGAATACTGAACTATGTTGATTATGCTAATCCTCCTGCATCCTCTGTTCCTGAATAAATTCATATTCTCCTGTGTCATGACTAAGCTGACTCAAATCTTAGCTCATCTGATCATAAAAGAGATGTTATATGACATACTCCTACTGGGTTAGTATTGCTGTTCAATCATCATATCATAATTTTTGTGTCAGAAATCCACTTTCTAATTTTAGACACATCCTACAACACATACTATCCACAAAGAACATGTGCATTTTTTCTCTGCAAAGGCCACTAAAAGAATGAGAACTAAATACTATCATTCAGTCTTCAGCCGATTCGACTCAATCTACACAATAAATGGAAACAGCTAAAGGCACTGGATATTGCAAAGACTACGGGCCCTGACAACATTCCAGCAATAGTACTGAAAACCTGTGCTCCAAAACTTGCAACACTCTTAGCCAAGCTATTCCAGTACAGCCACAACACTGGCATCTACCCAACAACGTGGGAAATTTTGTCAATTAACATCAAGGGCACATTTGACTGAGTATGGCATCAAGGAGCCCTATCAAAGCTGAAGCCAATGGAAATCAGGGGAGAAAATAGGTTTGGGCTGACAAGAGACACATAATATTCACTCTCACAAGAGCCAGGCAATGATCATCTTCAGCAACAAATGGGCAGCAGGATGGCTCAATGGTTAGCTTTGCTCCCTCATAGCACCAGGGACCCAGGTTCGATTCCAGTATTGGGTAACTGTCTGCATGGGTTCCACTGAGCACTCTGGTTTTCTCCCACAGACCAAAGATGGGCAGGTAAGGTGATGAATTGTCTCATAGTGTCCAGGGATATGTAGGTCCCTCCAAGCAGAGAAAATAGAGCAAACGAGTCCATGCTGGCCTCCAGTCTGCGCAGACTCCTGGCCCTGAGAGCCTTGAATGAAGCCAGTGCGGACTCCCGGCCTCTGCACACACAGAGGCCG